CGACACAAATCCAGAAGAACACAGAGATTTAACGAGGTTCGGCAAAGATGCCTACGTCCTCGGGAGCAGAGCGGCGAGTTCCTTTCAATAATCAGAAAAGAGTTTACAGAATTCAGGATACCTCCTGGGGTTACTAACAGGCCTATTTATAACCCCAGGAGTAAACCTAGGCACAATATGTAATTACTACATTACCCCTGTACCAAACCGCGAGGCTTTGCCCCCGCACCCCAACCCACGTAACTTCCCAATTTGGACAGATTCTTCCGCTCCGCTCTGCTCCGCCTCGATCCAGTGTCTGTCCCGATATGATATATGAGCCATACCATAACAATTGAGATAAACAACACATTTCATCTGCTTTGTTGGACAACAACTGAACTATACTAATAAATATTTGAAATCTGACAACCAGAAGCGGAGAGAGAAAAGGGAGTTCTAGAGATATTTTACTTTTCCTGAATAAAAAGTAATTAATAATGTACGTATCCTGTATAATCCTTTTTGAATGACAGATATTTGGAAGCTATAAAGAAAAGGCTGGACGAAAAGAATATATAAATAAATACATATTAGACACGGACATATGGACTCTATAACCAAGACCCAAGTGTAAAAACACGGGGATGGCAACCAAGTGTGAGAGCTCGAGACTCTTTTGAGCTGTTTGATGGAGTTGCCAATTGACTGGCAAGGTTGCAAATCCAACCGGATCAGAACAAGCATCTCCAATGTTATGGGAGCATGCCTCCCGTAGCGTAGGGTTTATTTCTCCTACGCTAAAAAAAATGCTATTTCTCATTTATTAGGGGATGGGACCCACAATGCCACGTGACTGTTTTTAATTGGCGTCCGGATGCAATTTTGTGTCCAGTGTCCTGACCGAATAATTTTCTCTCCTAAAGAGCAAGTTCAACAATATTAGCGAGTCCTCACGTGACCGAGTTACTTCTATATTAGACTTAGCATGCTCAAAGTATGTGAGATTGGAGGATGGTAGACACATTCAAATCAAGCCAGCACCTTTAATTTCATGCGAGTGCTTCTAATCTTTAAGCAAGTTCCTTTCATCCTCCCCATTCAAATTGATCTATTACATTTTTTTTTATATAATTTGCAGATAAAAAGATCAAGAGTTAGATAAAATATTTATTATTATTTTTATCAAATGACTCTGTCCCAGTATTGAGAATTATAATGCCAATTTGATTGCTTTGCAAGCCAGAATTTTTTTGTGCCTATAAATACTCATGCCTTTGGTTTGCCCTAACTAAGAAGTGCAGAATATGGTTGTTGCCATATCTTGCCACTTGACCTCTTATTTTTAATTTTTTTTTTGGAATAAAAAAAGCAATACAACATGAATAAATAAATAATATGTATGTTTTCAAATATTGATATTTGGATCATACAACCAAAAAGACCCAGGTTAGGGACATGAGAATGGCCACGAAAGGCAAGTGTCGTGAATCTACCTTATGCTGATTAACGGAGTCATTAACTAACTAAACAGGGTTGCTCGGCCAATTAGACCTAAATGGACTTATGCGCATTGGGTGAATGCATTTAAGGAGAGAACAAATTCAACAGAACTGGCGAGTCCATTTGACTTGAATGAGTTCATGGCTAGAGTTGGCACACCTAAGCTGTGCGAGCTCACTGGTGCTATGAGGTACATTTATATTATTTCACTGCATGTTACAAAAACATTTTGACTAGGATTTTCATAAAATCACGCAATGCGAATATGTAATTGACAAATGACTGGAATAGAGACCTTACACAAAGTGATACATGCACTACAGAAGTAACTTTCATGTCCATGCATGATTGCAAAGAAACCTTCAGCACACACACCAAACACTAACTACTTGCAGAGAGATAGTAACAAAATTATAACACTGATGATATATTCCCATATCGTTCTGCACACCATCAAAATTTTTAACCGTAAACAAGATTCTCTGCTGATATCAAGCAGAAGCTTTCTCGTATGGACCACGCATCATCATTTACTCGTCACAGAGAGAGGCTTGCGAAGAGCAACTCCAACTCTTCATCTTGCGCTGAAGTCCGCTGCAACAGAAATAAAGGAGTCAGTCCAAGTAACAAAAGTTGTCTTTATTTGGGTCAATTAATAAATTCAAGTACTTGATGGGCGGATGCATTCAGAGTTTTTATAGTGGATGATATTTTGACGAATGGCACACATTTATCTGCTCTATTTGGGATTGTCCCCTTCGAGATTCATGAGACGAGTCCCAATATATTGCATGATTTTTATGTTTTTAATTTCATAACTTGATTGAAAGATGGTTGAAGATGTGTTTAAAGTTCGTTGGGAGGTGGTTGATAATTAGCTTGGAGTTCGTTGGTTGACCATTTCACTTAAAGCTGCCATAGGCCAGCTTAATAAGTTTAAACATGTTTAAATTCAAGAAGTGCAACATTCAAGCCATGGTTTATGGCTTTTATTTGCAAAAAATCAAATTCAAGTCCATATTAAACAGGGATGGTCATAATAAGTGAAGTGCTTAAAATCTGGCCAAAGGGTCACAAGTCCCTCAATCTCTCTTATGTTGAACAAGTTTGCAACGATAGACATATCAAGATCAAAGTTTTAATAAGTGTCAACAATCTTTGATCTACTTCAAGTAACGATATCTCACCATATCATGTGTCATAGTTATCAAATATATTATCTTGCAAAACTAATATCAACAATAGGTATGTACAATAAGCCGAAGTCTTCCTAGGTTTACCTCTGCCTCTCTTAATAAAAGTCAAATATAAAACATCTACTCTCCTAATCTGGATGTTGAGAAATTTTTTTTTGATAATATACTTAACATTATTCTTGATATCAAGGGGAAAACAAAAGACAACTTCAAAGCAAGAATGAATTTGAAAGAGTACTGCAAGAGGAGGGGGTTAGAACTGCAACAGTCAAATGCATATAAAGTAAAAAAACTCAAAGTTACATATTGTCTAACATCAAATCAACAAAAAACAATCTTCGAGTGATTGCATTCCTTGAAGTTTCAAAATGGTTGTGCCGATAACGTAGACCGCTATGTTTATTTGAGCATGGGAAAAATATTTGATGTGAAGAGTCACAATTGTCATACTTCAATATAGTGCTTATTACTTATTGCATTCAATGCTTTGCCAATGCAGGTACTCGATCCATTGATCAAAATCAATAAATTCTCCAGGGAGTTGTACGCAGACACTTTAGATGCTCATTCTCTGCGAAGTTTTGATAAAAGTATTTCATTATTGTTGTGCAAACTCGAACAGATATTTCCTCCCGGCTTTTTTGACGCTTTGGAGCATCTACCTATTCATTTATGTTATGAGACTATAGTGAGGGGATCAGTATAATATAGGTGGATGTATCCCTTTGAGAGGTATGTCTTTTATTTTATGTTGAAATATTATCGTATTTTTTTTTGAATTGAATAAACTGTGTAGATTTCTGAATAAAATTAAAAAACTGTTAAGAATAAAGCATGTCCTAAGGGTTCGATATACGAGCATACCTATTATAGGAAAGAATTGCTTTATTCTTATTACTTCAATCAAGGGCAATATATGCATGAAACTGTTAGTTAGATGTATTTGCAAACAAAATTATCAGTATTTTAGATATTTGGTGAACCATTAGGTATGAATGGTACGCGCTATCTAAACGATGGAGAGCTCCAAGCAGCTATTTTGTATGTTTTACTGAACTGTGACGAAGTAAGATAAAATATAATATATAATATTTTTACAGTAAGATAAAATATAATCAAATATTTTTACAGAATGTTTTACCTATTAATTTAGACATACAAGTCACAATGATATATGCAAGTTATTTACGGAGAGCTTGAACGTAGAGGATAACTCTCTCGTAAGCAAGAAAATTAAAGAAGAAATTTTAAAATAATTCAAATAATACGTACATTGAAGTAACTTTTAAATTCACTGATATGTTGTGTAATTGTAC